GAGTCTAAGCAAAAGGGGCAAGTGTTATGTCAATAATTACACCAATTATTAATCCCCCTATGGGAGACGACACGTTTCCCAACCTCCTAGGTCAATACTAATCAACAGATCAGCTCACTCCCCAACCAAGGTGACTCGAGCACCACAAGCACTCGTCCTTTTCCTAGTAGGTCCGAGTTGAGTTAGACTATCACTTGACCTCATTAGTCGAGTCGACCACTCTCATTCCCTTAGAATCGGGTCGACAACTTATAAGGCTGACAAGAACTGCGGTACTTCTCGGCCCACTCGTAGAGCCGAGTCGAAAGACGGTTCGTCCTCGAACTCCACACTAATAGCTGTCCATCGTTATCATGGCTAGTGCCCCTAGCCTCCATGACTCACCACCTATCGTCAGCACCATGCCCCCTCAATCACCATCATATCAAATACTCATCGCACAGCCAGTCGACACTTGTAAAGCTATCTGTCAATCCAGCTGTCTGACTGGACTCAGTCATAGCTACGCATTTACCCATCTCAGTTGAGTATAAATATGAGCTCAGTGCCTACTGCCAAGAGGCAGATCCTCAGGCCCCCTTCGGGACTACAGGCATGTCATTTCTCACACTTAGACTAAGCACTTATTTGGTTTATTAATTTCTTCTTTACTCAAGCTTTATACTAACTTGATCGTCGGAAAAATTACCGGAGAGTCCAACTCCGGTCCTCTAACGTACCTATTTTGCAGCTTGCTCATCTTAGACAGGGGAACGGTTGTCAGAGGAGATGAGGGAACCCACATCGTACATATCGACCCTAAGCCCCGTCGCTGATTCAAGATTATCTGCTAATCTCGTTGCTGAGTCTCAGGACATCAACAAGAGATCGTTTTTGTCCGTTCATTTCAAAGTTCACACAAAATTCTTACTAAAATCTTATTAATTTCACATATATAATTTACAGTATTTTACAAATTAAGATGAAGAAACTCTAATCCTGTTTGAGAAGGTTTCCGAAATGATCTCTGAAAATCAACCTTTCAATAGTGTGAATACAACTAGAATTCATAGTCAAGAGGTACGGCCGCCGTCTAAAGAAAAAGCTACAGAGATGTTTGGTCAGGCACATTGCGGAGTTCAGAACGAGAAATCCCCGCATCTCTGGCAACGAGTTTCATGATTACATTCGTACTGGAAGACCGCACTCAAGAAAACATTCATATACGAAGACCAACCCCCTCAATAAAACATTCATAGTGGAAGGTAAAGAGAAATGTGCTAACAACCATTAAAGAGGTCCCTAGCACGTTACAGGAGTGGGCTCTAGTTCTATACCTAACAAAACAATAATTAGTCAAAATTGCCACCTTAAGATTTCTTAACATTCCCATTGGTCGGCATCTACCAACCTAACAACCTAGCTCTAAAATGTCCTTGGCTGACCTGAAAACTAGGTTATATATAAACAAGGATCCAATATATGGGAGGTCAAACAATTTACCATGCATATGAGTCAGCTCACTAAACTAGTTTTCTCCGTACAATGTTTTTAGTTACCAAAATCGCTCAAATTTCTATTATAAGAGAGAGAGAGAAAAAATATGAAAATAGAGAAGTGTCTGTATTTAGTACGAAGAGTGCATGTTCAATATACACATGATTATATAGGAGATGCATGTCTGACGAGTGCCAACTCTTTCTGGTTTTTACCTTTTACACGAGCGACAAGTTCTCTGTATAACTAGTCATACATCTGAATCTAACTGTCTACACTAAAAGATCAAATCTGAGTCCAATTAATCTTGAAATTTCCTTTTTAATATCACCATTGTACTTGCAGCTAATAGGATAGGTGAGAATTCATATCCTGGTCTATATGATATGCAGAATTGATGATTGTACGTATTCAAATTTAAAGGGTATAGGCAATCATTTATAATCCGACTCGGGTGTTCATTCATGCGCAAAATGTTTATTGACATTACCTAGAGGTGTTATTTTTATGCCCTATTAAAATATTTGCTGCCATCATGTTTCTAATGCTACTTCGTATAGTTTTCTCTTAGGAAACTATATATATTTTCTTTTTCTTTTCTTTTTTCTTTTTTTTCTTTTTTAAATTTTACGATGAAAATTGTAGCTACAAATATAACATATGTACGACCACTGATTATAAAGGAAAAAAAAATCATGGAAGTGTTCCAGTGAATAGTGAGAAATGGGAACTGTACTGATCAATACTAACTACGAAATTAAGTATTACAATCAAAATTTGGGAAAATGAATAATATTTTTTCATTTACCAAAAAAAAAAGTATTACATTCACCGTATCAGTTAATTTATATAAAAGTACCTAAGTCAAAATCTAATCCCACTCCACAATTAATGTAGACCGAGTCAGAAGCAATATAGCATATGCATTAGACTTTCAATGAATCATACGACATCGTATAATACATGGCGTACATTGTTAGTTACAAAACGAGCTTATACGAAATGACTTCTGAGATGCCGCCTCTTAGAATCCATATCAATAATCATACTTACTACCGATCATGTCAAAATAAACAATTAATCGACTAGCGTACGTCAAACGTCTAACTACCATTCTTGTCCTATTTTCTCCTGTTTCGCTCCTCGTGATCTACTTGATTCACGCAACTAATATTTCCGATAACAAGCACCATGCTCATTCTTTATGACGTAGATTTGATTAAAGCAACCCACATGCATTGACTACTCTAAATTAGTTCTCTAGTGTTTTACTTTTATTTTGTTTTTAAAATAACAAACCAATTGTTTTTCGCCAAAAAATAAAGAGATTCCCTTACCTTTATGTCAAGGCAATCGGCTAGCGCGCTTAACAATCAGCTAGCGCGCGTCGGTCAACGCGCGCGCTTCGGTCAACGCGCGCCCAACGATCAGCTCGCGCCCTCGACAATCAGTCCGCGTGCGTTGGTCAGCTCATGTACATCAAGTCAATCTGCTCACACGCGTCAATCATCTTGCGCACGTCGGTCAACTCGCGTACGTCAAGGCAATCCGCTCGCACGCGTCAATCAGCTTGCGCGCATCAATCAACACGCGCCCAACAATTAACTCGCGCGCATCGGTCAAATCGCGCATGTCGGTCAACTCGCACGGAACGTACAAGTCAACAAGACGATCAATTACGTAAAACAGTGGAGAATACAAGTCCCAAAAAAATCGGAAAACACAAAAGGACTCAGC